CTATTTTCCTTCGGTTTGATCTTGGGTGGTCCGACTTCGAATTTTCCGCTGGCGACCGAGGAGAGGAAGTGCTCGTACAGGACCTTACAGTCCTTAGTGTTGTGTTTCTTGCTCTTATGATAGGAACAATACTTTTCTGGCTCGTCGGGTTTAGACCCCGAGGCTTCGGACGTGCCTTCAAGTTTCGGCTCATCACCCATCCTATCCCAGTGGTTCATCCCTTCGCTTGGACTACCACCGTCGAGCCCGGGAGGTTATCTTCATCGACCATGTAGACAAAGCTCTTTTTAGGGTTTGCTTTGTCGGCTGGGGCATGCTGACGCGGTTCCGGACGGGCTTCGTTGCCCTTTGAGGACGCTTGCTTCGTAGTGTTCTGCTTACTGATGATTGCTTTCGTGTCTTCTTCCATGAGGATGACGTTGTTGGAGCGAGCAATGGCATCGGAGAGAGATTTGGTTGGGTGACGATAGAGGTCGTCTCAGAACTTGGAGTGCACGTACAAAGTGTTCATCAGGGCGTTGACAGCGATACTGTCCGGAACTTTGACCTTAGACACAATCCCCTTGAATTTTTCCATGAAGCTACGAAGGCTTTGCCTCTGTGTCTGGGAGAGGTTCCACAGATCTGATGCAGTAGCTTCCTCTCGAGTGAACATTATGTAGTTCTTCAGGAACACAGACGATAAGTCGCGAAAGCTATCGACGGAGTTCTCCGAGAGACCTGTAAACCAGGTTAGGGNTACGAAGGCTTTGCCTCTGTGTCTGGGAGAGGTTCCACAGATCTGATGCAGTAGCTTCCTCTCGAGTGAACATTATGTAGTTCTTCAGGAACACAGACGATAAGTCGCGAAAGCTATCGACGGAGTTCTCCGAGAGACCTGTAAACCAGGTTAGGGCCATGCCAGTAAGGCTCTCGACGAAGAGCTGACAGTAGCTGGCGTCTCGTTCTTCATCGGTGAAGTTGTGTCGCCGCATCGCGATGTTGAAGGAGGTGATGTGGGCCGTTGGGTACGCGAGGCCGTCGTATGTCGGCAGGCGGATCTTATCCATCTTGCGAAGCCTTACGGCGGTTATCTTCTGAGTAAATGGAGTTCGGAGGGTGTCCGCTAGGACACTCTTGATGAGCGGAGCGGAGGTTGTGATGCCGTGTATCTTCGAGTTGATATCGAGGAGAGCTTGCTTGAGGGCAGCAATTTCCATGATAGTTTGTAGATCCGGGCGGTTTCCTGGTTGCGCGGAATCGTCTTGAGGTCCAGCCGGCCTGATAGGCTGATTCGCCGGAGTAGGTGTAGGGTTAGTATTGAAGAGAAACCGCCGGGCCGTGGAAAGATGTCCTCCAGCGCCGTCAGGGTTCGAGAGTACGGCGGCTATGGCCGCGAGGTGCTCGTTCGTCGTCTTTTGGGCTTCGTCTTGACGAGCTAGACGCTCCATGACGGAGTCGATGAAAGTAGGAGCGAGCGGTATGGCGGCGCTTGAGGTCGGTGCTGCGGCATCTTCCTCGTCGCCGGAGGTTGAAGCGTTACTTGGACTCGTGGCTTGTGTTGACGCTGCTTTGTTGTGCCCCACGGTGGGTGCCAACTGTTTGAACCGAGTTCGGTCTGTTCAGGGAATGAGTGACATGACTCGTCGGTGGGTAATTTCAAAGGCGTTTGTTTACTATTTTGAGTCAAAGATGTGTTTGTATTAATAAGAAAGTTCGGTTTACAAATAGGGAAATGAGAGGCGAGGCGGAGTCTCACGAAGAGCTCGGCCGTGCCGTACAAGTCGGAAAAGAAACAAAGGAGCGAAAATCCTAGTTCTAGCCGCCTTGAGTGTGAGTGTGATTTCGGATCCCCCTCTTGTTAGCTTCTCTCTCCCTTTTATAGTGGTTACACCTTGACCTAGCAGACTTATCGTGACTCTTGCGGGCTTCCGCCAAATGGGCCTTGGTCAGCCCGCTAATTCAGGCGCCTTGCCTAAACACTCTTAACTCGGTTAATCACGGGGATTAGCCGAGCTAAGCTCGACTTACTGCTAATCGCCGGAGAGCTCTCCTGTTGGGCCTAAATTCGTCTGGGCTGAGCCCGTTATTGTATGGGCTTGGTGAGGAAGTGCATTCCACCACCTACAGAGGGTTTTACGAGTCTTTTTGGGTTTCGTCAGGGTTATTGTTTTTGGAGGCCTGTCCCAGTAAACCTCTATGTGCGGCTCTGGGACGATCCAAGGGAGTCGCGAAATCGAATCGCCTACCGCGGAGTCTTGTAATTCCGCGGGGACGGACAGCCTTGATTTTCGCGGTTAGAGTTTCAACCTGTTTTGCGAGAGATCTGATTATCTTGTCCTACTCATCCGATTTCTTTTGAAAGGCAGTGAGTACCTCCTGGAACACTGCAGTGTTAGAGTTAGCGTTAACTGCGGATACGTTCGCTTGTGGAGTGTCGGTAACGTCGTCGTGGACGTTCTCGTCGTCACGAGTTTGTTGTTCCTCTGACACCATGCTTGACTGAGCGTGTTGTGGCTTGCGAGTTAGATAGATCCGTAACCCCCCCCCTCCTTCTAACGCCATACTGTGGGAAACAAAATTCGCACTGTCGATTTCCGTTGAATTAAGAACGTAGGGTAAACCCTACGTTCCCAAAGGTCCCGGTTATCTATATACTACACGCCAAGCAATCAAGAACGATAAGTAAAAAGACGAAAATAAAAATATAAGTATGACTACAAATTAAAAGAGAGCAAAAGAAGTCTTATTCCAAATTCGCGTTTTAGCGTTACAACGAGTTAGGAGCCTTGGCTATAAGAGCTGACGGCGAGATCCTAGTTCTAGCAACCTAAGATTGCGGAAACCCTAATTGAGACGCAGCTCGAATAACAAAAACGAAAAGTTGCCTAAATGCTTTAAGTGCTAAGTTTCTTCTGTCTCCTTGTCTCTCTCGCCCTGAACTCCTTATATACTCTCTACAAAGTCGGTTTACGCTTTCCACTTCTGCCCTTAAGCTGTCATAGCCCAAAAATGGAGATTTTCTATTTTTCTCGGCCTTCACGATTATCTTAGGAACTTTAACATTTATCCGCGGAAACTTCACATTTATCTTCTCTCGCCAGCCAAAGATAAACCGTCATAAAATATGGTATTTTTGTAAAAAACCGTAAGTGGTCTTCTAGTCGCGTTCTAGACCTCTTTGGGACGTGTTTCGACTCGAAACGTTTTTACGGTTTCTTTTCGATAAAAACAATCTTTCCGCGGCTTTTATCGTAAAGTCTGAACGATAATCTCGATCGACAAGGAAAGGATGGTAGTCAAAATGTGACTTTCGGGAGATTGCATCAAAGAGTAAACGAGAGCGTAATGACTCGGGTTTATGTTGATCGTCGGGGTAGTCCGGTCGCTACGTAACGACCGAGTTTGGCTCGAGCTCTTTTGCTGCGTAGTGACCGAGCTTGGCTTGAGCTTGGCCGCTACGTAGCGACCGAGCTTGACTCGAGCTTGGTCGTTACATAGCGATTAAGTCCTTGTTCGGATTGAGTTGCTACGTAACAACTTGGTTTATCCGTTTTTGTGTTTTTGTCTGATGTTTGGATGTTAATTTTATCGTGATCATTTTTTACCCCAACAATATTAGGGTCTGACTGGTTGAAACGCGGCGGTTGCGATTGCGGTTGCGGGAGTTTGCGGATGTGGGTGGTTGCGGTTTCTAGCGTTATTAGGCGATTTGTACGACTGGTACAGTGATTAAAAACTGGTGCGTTTGCGGGATATTTATGACTGGTTGATTATGAGATACTACAGCGGTTCAATAATAAATTTCCAATATT